GGAGTTTCGCTCTTGTTACCCAGGCTGGAGTGCAATGGCGCGATCTCGGCTCACCACAACCTCCGCCTCCTGGGTTCAGGCAATTCTCCTGCCTCAGCCTCCTGAGTAGCTGGGATTACAGGCACGCACCACCATGCCCAGCTAATGTTTTGTATTTTTAGTAGAGAGGGGGTTTCACCATGTTGACCAGGATGGTCTTGATCTCTTGACCTCGTGATCCACCCGCCTCGGCCTCCCAAAGTGCTGGGATTACAGGCTTGAGCCACCGCGCCCGGCGAAATTTCAAATACTTTAGCATGGTACACAAAGTCTTTAAAATCTGGGCTGATTTATTGCCACATACCATATATCGGCCGTAGAGAACTGTTTGTTCTTTAACCTTGCCATGAACCATCACATTTTCATGCTCTTGCTGTTCCTTGCATATTGCTTTGTATAGAAGTGCCATAGTGTATTTTCTTGTTTTTGTGTTACTTAGATTGATTTCCAGTTCTTTGTTATAACCCTATACTAACCATTCTTTAGCAAAGTAGAATTACTTATTGAATCAAAACTGTTGATTAAAATTTTTTTTTAAAAAATGCTTTTGATTCTTAATGCTAAACCACTCAGAAAGGTGTCAGGTTCTACTCCAGTCAGCAAGCTGTGAGAGGGCCCAACTTGCTACAGAGGAAGTAAGAGGTACCTAATACCGCCATAACCAAAATGTATTTTGTATTTTTTATTACTAATTTAACTCCTCATATTTAAGAAAATTTTATAACCCTAATTAATTTGTTATATGTTTTATAAGCAAATATGGTTAACAGCAGTCTAAAGATACAGGAGCATTACTGAATAGGTTCAGAGCCATTTGTTAATCTGGAAAAGTTGGGGGGTGGGTGGTCCGTACATGCTTTCAATTGACCAGAAATACTTTCTCTTTTGAGAATAATTACCATACAGTATCATTGGCATCTAAGTGTTACAAAGAAGCTGGGTGTGGTGGCAATACCTCTGTGGTCCCAGCTTACCCAGTACATGGAGGCAGGAGGATTGCTTGAGCCCAGGAGTTTGAGGCTGTAGTGTGCATTCACGCAACTGTGAATGCCTGCTGCCCTCCAGCCTGAGCAACATAGTGAGACTGTCTCTAAAAAAACATTACACTGTTGATGGGAGTGTAAATTAGTTCAATCATTGTGGAAGACAGTGTGGTGATTCCTCAAGGATTTAGAAATAGAAATTCCATTTGACCCAGCAATCCCATTACTGGGTATATACCCAAAGGATTATAAATCATTCTATTATAAAGATACATGCACACATATGTTCATTGCAGCACTGTTTACAATAGCAAAGACCTGGAACCAACCCAAATGTCCATCAATGAGAGACTGGACAAAGAAAATGTGGCACATATACACCATGGAATACTACGCAGCCATAAAAAACGATGAGTTCATGTCCTTTGTAGGGACATGGATGAATCTGGAAACCGTCATTCTCAGCAAACTGACACAAGAACAGAAATTCAAACACCACATGTTCTCACTCATAGGGACAATGAGAACACATGGACATAGGGAGGGGAGCATCAGACACTGGGGTCTGTTGGGGAGGTTAAGGGAGGGACAGCAGGGAGGCGGGGTGGAAGGGTGGGAAGAGATAACCTGGGGAGAAATGCCAGATATAGGTGATGGGGGATGGAGGCAGCAAACCACCTTGCCATGTACGCACCTATTGCAACAATCCTGCATGAACTGCCTAATGTACCCCAGAACCTAAAGTACAATTAAAGAAAAAAAAAGAATAGCATAAGCAAAGGCCAAGTGGGTCGGGGGAGAATGACAAGTCTAAGGAACTAAAAGTAATTTTAATCAAAATGCCGTAAAATAGAAAGGTGAGTCTTAATCCCAAATACATAAGCAAGAGAAAGTTATGAAAAGCCTTGAACAACATATTAGAAAATTAACCTCAATGTAATAAAACAAACATGAATCTGTTTTGGGGAAAAGAGCACTGCCAATGTTAGACACCATGGAGCACAAAGAGGAACTACTCAATTTAACCACTGTTGTAAAGGTTGGCAATGATGTGAGGACAGTAACAAAATCATAGAGGTTACAAGTGATAACTGTAGTTTAGACACGAAATGTGTGATATTGTAATGTAGAATGTTTTAAGTCTTAGCAGTTAACGTGGTTGGAATAGCATTCAAATAGCTTGAATGATTTTCTCAAATGATGCACTATTCTTTTGCTTTTAGCATGGTAGGTATTCAATAACAAGGTAGTGAATTATTAGCTGAAATTAAATAGAAAAGTGTTAGAACACTTCACCAAGAGTGTATACAAATGCCAAACATATGCAAAAGTGTTTGGTCTTATTAGTAATGAGAGAAATGCAAACTAAAAGTATGTTATTTATTTAGATAAAACTACCTAATGAGGAGTGAAAGCATAAGCATCGTGACAAACGTGGAGAGGAACTATCATACAGTATTGATATGAGTGAAACTTTGTAAAATCACTTTGAAAGACTGTTTGGCATTGCTGTCATAAAGTAAGTCAGTGTACACTTTATGATCCAGCAATTCAAGGCCCAGAATATATAAAACAGAAATTTGTATCCACTTGTACTAAGAATACTTGACAAGAATGTTAACATTTGCTTTACTCATAAGAGCTGTAGACTGGAAACAGCCGGGAGTTTCATCAAGAGTAGAATGGGTAAGGAAACAATGATACATTTGTGTAATGAAATAGTATATAACAACAAATGAACAAACTTTGAAAAATTTAATGCTATTTACCACAAAAAGAGAAGAAACTCCCAAACATAATATTGACTGAAAGTAACTATTCAGTAAGTAAATAAATAAGTTATAGTGTTTGATGTTAGGAAAAATAAAAAAGGAGGGATGGGTAGAAATTTGAAAAGGGGTAAAAAATGGAAAGAGGAAAGAGAAGACTTAGGAATAAGTTGGCAGAACATAAGTTTGGACAAACAAGTTTCCATCAAGTTTGCTAGGTATAGAACTACCTGATTTTTAGCCACTAAGAATGAGAAAGAATAGTTATATAAATTCAAAAGAAATCTGTTCATGTTTTCATAGTTTCTTAACTTAAAACAAGGATATCTAGCTGGGTCTCTCTTTGTGTATCTTTGTTCCATTTTCTGTTCATTACATTGTTTCAAAATTTAATTAATTTGTTAGTAGGGCCTTTTATAGCCCTATCACAGCCTGTTTTGGAAGTTGGAAAATGTAAGTTCTGTGGCAGTGCCAATAGATCTGTGTTGCAAAATAATTTATTTAAATCTCTGATGGTTATGAATAACAGTTATGCTTTTAAAAATTATAAAATGCTGTTTTCCTTTCTGTAAGATGGAAGAATTTCTGCCTCTGCCTGAGAACATTCTCTAATTTTAGATGTGAAGATATATATTAGTAATATGTTACATACTTAATGAGATCGTTTCTCATTTGTCTTTGAAGCTCTTCATGGACAGGTTGTTCAGTTCAAGCTCTCAGACATTGGAGAAGGGATTAGAGAAGTAACTGTTAAAGAATGGTAAGTTAATCTGAAAAAAGAAACAAGTAAATTTAAAAATAATTTGAGGAAAAATAACTGTTTAATGGATAGTTGGAATCCATTTAAACTGAGAAACTTCTTTATAAAACACATAATGCATTTTAAAAAGCAATAAGGTAGAATTACCTTATGTTGATGATATAGTGGTGATGGAATTTGTCGTACATCAAAGTATTTTATTCAATGTGATTTAAAACTATCAGGTAGTCTAAGCTCTCTTTACTGTACGAAAATGACTTTAGTAATAATGTAAGTATGTTTGACTTACCATTACCGGTTACAGTTTGCTTGTATATTTAGAAGAGATGAAAATATTTTACCAAAAATCATGAATTAAAATAAATTTTGAAACATTAAAAAATTATCTTTAAAAGGGCCTGAAACAAAAATTTTCATCCTCTCCCTTTTCTTTCTTTCATTTTCTGGAAAAATAGAACCTCTGGGTACCAAACTCAGTTTTAGAGGTTTTTAGAAGTGGCAGGTAAGATGAGTAAATAGATTACTTCCCACCATAGATTTATACCACTAAAGATCCTTTTAAGAATCTTGTTCAACCACCTGAACATTCTTTTCTTGTACTTCTTATTATTGCTTTGTAAGTTAGAAGAGAGCTGTAATAACATAAACATACCTTATGGTCATGTCTCTGGTGGCATTGTGGGATTATGGAAAGAACAATGGATTTCAAATCAGAAGAGCCTGACCTTAAAACTTATTAGCTGTCCTACCTGTGACTCACTTGGTCTCTTAATGTGTCAATGTGGATAACAGAATTTACTCTGTCAACCTCTGGAGTGTTAAAAAGATCAAAATAATGTCTTGTGTAAGAAATGCATTTGGCAATACCTTATTTTCAAGACCAAGACAGTAGTCAAAAATCTTTGTAGATTTTTTTTTCTTTTTTTTTTTTTTTTTGCTAGAGATGGGGTCTTGCTATGTTGACCATGCTCATCTTGAACTCTTGGCCTCAAGTGAGCCTCCCTCCTGGGCCTTCCAAAGTGTTGGGATTACAGGCATGAGCCACTGCACCAACGTTTTTTGGTTGTTTTTTAAAAAACATTTCTTAATTTCTACCTCTTATTCTCTAAACCCATATGTTTAGTATAGGGCTTACAGCTCTTGGGAGAGGAAATCATTTTATTCCTATTAAAATTCTAAAAGCTCCTTTAATGAGAAACTAATCATTTGATTAGTTTTTTAGAAGTTCTTTAAGAAATATTAAGAAGTTTCTTGAATTCTGTTTTTTTCTATAAATAACTAAAGAAATATATATATATATACATATATTGTGTTGCACTTGGTAAAATGCTAAAGGACAGAATTCTATCTTATAAAATGGAGCCTGAGAATAGAAATTTGAATAAGGACGCTTAATTTAATAGAAGGTAGTGTGGTTTTGTGAAAGGGAAAATAAAACCTCATGTATTCTTAGAATTTGTGGGAGCAAATGTATGGAAAAAGAAAAAACTTAAATTTCACAAAGCCTTTGACAAACTTCTGAGACAAGTTTAGATTTTATATGTGATTTTGTGTGAAAGTCTATTTTGTCTGATAGTATAGCCACTCTGCCACTCTAGCTTGCTGTCTTTCTCTCTCTCTCTCTCTCTCTCTCCTTTTTTTTTTTTTTTTTTTTTTAGAAACAAGGTCTTGCTTTGTAGCCCAGGTTGGACTACAAACTCCTGAGATTACAGGTGAGCCATCACCCCTGGCCTTGTGTGACATATCTTTATCCTTTTACTTTTTACCCATTTGTGTTGTTGAATTTAAATATATTTCTTAGCATATAGTTGGAGCATTTTTTTAGAATCTATCCTGACAATCTTTGCCTTTTTATTGGAGTGCGTAAACTTTTTACTGTATATTTAAAGTTATTTGCTTTGTGGTTGCCCTGAGGATTACAATTAACATGTTAATTTAAAACATTATAATTTGGATTAGTAGAAAATTTCAACAGAATATAAAAATGTGCTCCAATATAGCTCTATCACCTCTTCCTTCCTTTTTCTATTTCTGTCATATGTATTCCTGTTTTTCTTTTTTAGAATTATCATTCCATTAGCCAGGCATGGTGGCACACGCCTGTAGTCTCAGCAACTTGGGAGGCTGAGGTGAGAGAATGGCTTGAGCCCAGGATGCAGAGGTTGCAGTGAGCCAGGATTGCGCCGCTGCATTCCAGTCTGGGCAACAGAGTGAGACCCTGTCTCAAAAAAGCAAAACAAATAATTCTTATTCCACATTGAAAGTACTCCATTTTTAAGCATCATAAAGCACATCAACACAGTTTTATAAGTATTGCTTTAATGTGGCTGTCTTATAAATCAGATAGGATTTTTTTAAAGTTACAAACAAAATACAGATGTGGCCAGGTGTGGTGGCTCACCCCTGTTATCCCAATACTTTGGGAGGCCAAGGTAGGAAAATTGATTGAGGCCAGGAGCTCCAGACCAGCCTGGGCAACATAGCCAGACCCTGCCTCCACCACTACCACCAACAACAACCCAGATGCTCCTTGTCTTATGATGGGGATAAGTCCTAGGCCCATCAAAACTAAAATGTCTTAAGTTGAAAATGCATTTAATATATCTAATCTATCAAACATTATAGTTTAGCCTAGCCTACCTTAAACATGCTCAGAACACTTTCCTTAACCCACAGTTGGGCAAAATCATTTAATACACAGTCTATTTTATAAAGAACTGTTGAATATCTTAAGCAGTTTATTGAATACTGAAAATGAAAAACAGAGGGGTTGTATAGAAACTCAAACTACTGTTTCTTACTGAATGCATATTGCTTTTACACCATCATAAAGTTGAAAAACTGTAAAAGTCAGAGGCCATCTGTAGTGACAGTTCTCTGGGGATTTTGCTTTTTGTGGTGATCCAAAAACTAGGTTTCCCCTTACAGTGGCTGCAAGGCTGCTGATTTGGCTCCTGCTGTGCTAGGAAAAGGATGGAAATTGAAAAAGTTAAAATACTACAAAACTCAGCCATTTTTCCTGAACACATCCTTCTCAGTTGTTGCAAGCCTTTTTTTTGAATTCCAAAATTCTTACAAAATGGATTTTTAACAACTTTCGTCACTGTACTTGTTGCTTACATGGAAAAGCAGATTTGTGGATATCTTAACCCACCATTCTGGAAGTGAAAGCATGTGCTTTTAAACCTGGTTTCTATGTCATGGGTGCTGTTTTATCACCACCTGAGGACTGGTCAAGGCAGGAAGACAAGAAGCAAGAATGACAATTATGTGTTGCTGACAATAAGTCAGAATTGTGCTAGAGACATTAAGAATGCCATTATAATCAAAATTAGATGTATTATTTCAGGTTTGGTTCCATTCCTCCTATTTTGTTTGCCAAGACTATCTAGAAAAGCCTGTAAAGTATATCTAAAATGATTAAGAGGTTAGAATGACTTTACGTAAGAACAGGCTAAAATAATTTTAGAAAGAAAGACTGGGAGAACTCCCATCTAAAATTCATGAAATTACAAAGGATTGAGGACATCAATTTTTAAACTTACTTCTGGAAGTATTGGGCATCCCTTAAAGTTTAGAAAAGAATAACATAAGACAGTAGAAGGGAATACCACTTTAAAAATGTATTTTTGGGCCGGGCGCGGTGGCTCAAGCCTGTAATCCCAGCACTTTGGGAGGCCGAGGCGGGTGGATCACGAGGTCAAGAGATCGAGACCATCCTGGTCAACATGGTGAAACCCCGTCTCTACTAAAAATACAAAAAAAAATTAGCTGGGCATGGTGGCACGTGCCTGTAATCCCAGCTACTCAGGAGGCTGAGGCAGGAGAATTACCTGAACCCAGGAGGCGGAGGTTGCGGTGAGCCGAGATCGCGCCATTGCACTCCAGCCTGGGTAACAAGAGCGAAACTCCGTCTCGGGAAAAAAAAAAAAAAAAATAAATAAATAAATAAAAATGTATTTTTAAAACTTGTTTTTCTAATAAATGGGTCAGACAGAAAACCTGAGAGTTTAATTAAATTTTTGGATTATAGACTATGAATTGCTTAAAATTTTTTTGCGTATTTCTTGCAGATACATTGAAGAGATTCTGGAAGTCATTATAGTCTTTTCTGAAACATTTCTTAGTACACCATCTGAAAGTAAATGCTGCGATAGATGAATACCGATATAATTCAGCATGGCATTTATATCCTTAATATGACTGTACTTATGATTGTTTATGTAAAAGTGTCTCATTTCTTTTTCTTTTAGGTATGTAAAAGAAGGAGATACAGTGTCTCAGTTTGATAGCATCTGTGAAGTTCAAAGTGATAAAGCTTCTGTTACCATCACTAGTCGTTATGATGGAGTCATTAAAAAACTCTATTATAATCTGGATGATATTGCCTATGTGGGGAAGCCATTAGTAGACATAGAAACAGAGGCTTTAAAAGGTATTGTAAGTCTGTTAATCTATTTTACCGAATTAATTATTGCTCTCTTTTTGCCATTGGGTCACAATTAAAAGTGACCTTTGCTTTTTTTTTTTTCAATTCCTATTTATTTTTGGCTCTTGAAAAATGTAATCTCTTCAACATATTTCAATAAATTGTAATCTTTTCAATCCTTTCAACACAAAATAGAAATCTGAAGTGTAGATTAGACAAAACCAGAGGTGGGAGGAAAAGGCAATAGCCCAAGGAAGAGATGAGATGTTGCAAAAAAGCCGGAGGATGTCCCATCTTTTCTCCTCTGGGGAATGACTCAAACATTCAGGTGGCATTGTACACTGTTCCACATAAGTCAGTGATGTTATTCCTTTTGGAGGGGTAAGAAAGGGTGGGATGGACTTTTAGTAACTTACAGATTTTGAGTTGGAGGTTTAGAAGCCAAAATCAGGAAAATTGAAAAGGTTCTCGGTGAGTCATCATTTTCTTTTGGCCAGTTTCCATGTTAAAAATGTGTACAGTAACACTTCATTTACCTGAAGGCCTGCCTTCTGGATACCTTAGTGTTCAAAGAGGCAACAAGCTCTCTCAGTAATTAAAGATTCAGGCTGTAAATACTGGCCACTAAGAGCAAAAATTGGAGTATCTAAAGAATAAATCTAATGTAATGGATTGCTCTGTTTGCCACTAATACAAAAACAAAAAGCACTCTTGTTGGGGATGGTTATAAACCTTTTCAAGAGAAGTTGAAGAGAAAAGAAGGAAAATTATAATGAAAGCAAAGATACCAGCATTTAGAAGGAGCAGCAACCATGGGACTTACAAGTGGTAGATGTCCTGCCGAGAGGGAATTCATCATAAGAATGTTACAGAGGAAAGCTAAAACAATTGGCAGTTCCAGTGCAGGCAGCTGGCTGGCTGACTCAGAAGTTCCTTGCAGCACTGTTGTGGTATACCGAAGGTCATCTAGGAAACAGTTTTGATACTAGGCACTTCAAGAGCAATAGATTCTGTGACAGAACTCCTAGGCTGGCATTCCACCTTGAAAGTGCTGAGATCAAGATATCTCAGTAGTGTAATTCAGAAGTCTAAAAGGAGTAATTGATTTACAGTGCCTGGCTGACACTTAGTACTGCAGTCTATAGAACAATAACTCATTATAATCTTTTTTTTTTAAGATTCACATCATATAATTTATAAATTTTTTACACTTACTATTCTGTGAGGTATTCCACTTTAACAGATGAAGAAACTAAACCCAACTAGAAAGGTTGGACGATTTGCTCAATGGTCAGTGACAGGACCAAAGTTAGAACTTACATGTCTGAGTCCTTGTCCAGAATATTTTCTACTATGATATGTTGCCTCTGAAAGCTAGAAGATGATTTATTGAAGGCTTCCTACTACTTAAATTTTTATTATTATAAAAGCAGGTGGTGTGCATTGCAGAAAGTTCTAAAAGATAGAAAACCAACACAACAACAAAAATCCTAATATTCACAAATCACACTCAGTGTATTAGCATGTATCATTCCAGACATTTTTCTAGGTCATACATGTACATGTAGGTAATTTTTTTAACTGAAATAATATATTGCATATGCCATAGTCTAATCTGTTTGCTTTGTTCATCTGTGTTTTCATGACAGTACATTTCAATTTTATTTTGTTGTTTGTTTGTTTGAGGCAGAGTCTCGTTCTGTCACTCAGGCTGGTGTGCAGTGGTGCAATCTTGGCTTACTGCACCCTCTACATCCCAGATTCAAGCGATTTTCCCATCTCAGCCTCCTGAGTAGCTGGGACTATAGGTGTGCGCCACTGTGCCTGGCTAATATTTGTATTTTTTTGTAGAGATGGTTTTACCATATTGGCCAGGCTGGTCTTAAACTCCTGACCTCAAGTGATCTGCCCTTCCCAGCCTCCCAAACTGCTGGAATTACAGGCATGAGACACCACTCCTGGCCCATTTGCATTTTATATGATTCACGGACCATATTTAAATTTCCTGAATTATCCTCAAAATATGGGGGATATTGATATTTCAGTTGATTTTTTTTTTAATCAGGGTCCAATATAGGACCATATGTTGCACCTAGTTATATCCCTTAAGTATCTTTTAGTCTAGCTCATCCTCCTCTACTTTTGTTTCATGACACTGATTTGAAGAGATTGCCTTTGTTTCACAGAATGTCAAACTTTTTGGATTTGCCTTGTTGCATTGTGGTGTTATTTAACTTGTTCCTCTAGTCCTTCTATTTCCCGTAAACTGGAAGTAAGTTTTAAAGGCTGAATTCAGGCTGGGCGCAGTGGCTCACGTCTGTAATCCCAGCACTTTGGGAGGCCAGGGTGAATCACTTGAGGTCAGGAGTTCAAGACCAGCCTGACCAACATGGTGAAACCCCATGTCTACTAAAAATACAAAAATTAGTATACCCCTGTTGTCCTGACTACTCACACAGAGGAAACCCTGCCTCAAAACCAAAACAAAACTAAAATGAACTCAGTTTAATTTGTGTTACACCGAGTTCTCTTTACAGCTGATGTGGTGACAGATGCTTTCTCTAGCCTCTATTTATTTAATACAATAAAATGATTACTCACTTTTCTAAACAGCTAAAGCTCTTTGTACCAAAACTTTTCAAAAACTGTTTTTTTGAGAGAGATAATTAATTTTCAATTTTAATCAATAATTAAAGTTTCATATGTGTTACTTCTTAAAGTGAGGCTATTGAGTAAGCTTTTCTGATTATGCAGACATGTTATGAACATTCACTGTTGTACTATAAACAGCACAATTCTGCATTTGATTTTTAGTTTTCCAGTCTGTTTAGATTGTCCTTGTGCCAGGTCATCACCCACCTTCCTAACTTTCTGAGAAGACAACCAAGTTTGTTAAGAAATATTTGCTAAAAATGGTAAATAGGAGCTGATTGAGAGTCTAAATACCTTTCCTCTGGGTCAAGTGCACGTTTTTAATGCTGAGGCTATGTGGCACCTATTTTAGGTACTCTGGGCCATGAAGCTATGTTAAGATGAAGTTGCCAGGATGCTCCACCTGCAGATAAGTGGAGAATTACTATACCTAATTGAGAGGTACCATGGGGCAGTGAAGGGAAGAGAAAGAGGGACGTAAGCTTTAGCAGAATACTTTATAAAACTAATATTATTCTGCCATTATATTGCATTTACCCCTTAACGTCAGCTTCTATTATTGATTGGTTTCTCTGTGCTAATGCTATGTATACATCTCATTTAACAAATGTAATAGCTGCATTTGACACATGGACTGTTGAGACTCTGAGAGGTTAAATAATCTGCCTGTGATCACATAGCTAGTAAGTGGTGGAGCCAGGATTTCACCCCAGCTCCGTTTAATGCAAAGCCCATGCTCTAACCATATTGTTATATTGATAATTTAGTTCAGAAAGGATAGATATCAGCTTCATTCCGCATCTAGGGCAATGGGACTGACTTTCTTTCTTTTCTTCTTTTTTTTTTTTTTTTGAGACAGAGTCTCGCACTGTTGCCCAGGCTGTAGTGCAGTGGCACGATCTCAGCTCACTGCAGTCTCTGCCTCCTGGATTCAAGGAATTCTGCCTCACCCTCCTGAGTAGCTGGGACTATAGGCGTGTGTCACCACACTCAGCTAATTTTTTTGTATTTTTAGTAGACACGGGGTTTCAGCATGTTGGCCAGGATGGTCTCAATCTCCTGACCTCATGATCTGCCTAACTCGGCCTCCCAAAGTGCTAGGGTTATAGGCATGAGCCACGGCACCCGGCCAGCACTTACTTTTCTAACACTGTACATATGCATATTTACAAAATTCTGCTAAAACAACACTGTTTAATTTGTAAATATATAGATTTTATAATATTGAAATGTTTACCAGGATTAGTACAAAATGTTTTAAAGAAAAGCTCTTTGACATAAAACCATTCCAAGAATGTAGTGCATCATATAATTAAATTATATTCAGTAACATAAATTGCATGGTTCAATGCTAGTCATAGTAGGTGCTCTTGGTAGCTATAACTGTTCATTTTGTACAGCCTATTGTAGATTAGAGTGTAATGCTAAAAACACTAAAATCACATCAATTGGGGAGACTTGTGAAATTTAAGTTTGGTCAACTTCATCCCCCTTAGAGTCCATTTCTACAGTGGTAACATTGAGAAATCTGTCCTGCGTACTCGTAATATTTTTGTAATCATCAGAGAAGAAAATGTGTAAAAACACTGAAGGAGGCCAAGGCAGGAGGATCACTTGAAGCCAGGAGTTCAAGACCAGCCTGGGCAACATAGTGAGACCATGTTTCCGTTAAAAAAAATGAATAAATAAAACAAACACTTTGAAGATAATTTAAAGTGCTGTGTAGTAAGGTGGTATTTTATTACTTGGTTAAGAGACAGCTTTCTTCCAACAGCTACATGACTACTACAAATAATATATGAGTGACTTCTCACAAGTAAGTTTGTCACTCATTTACACCCAAATTACTCTAAAAGGGTAGTACTATGTAGGTGATATATCACAAAATGTTTTCCAGAAAGTGAGTAGCAATAAATTAGTTGGTCTTTTGGAAATATGTAATAATTTTTGTATATGATATATTTGGATATTTATACATTCTCTTCAGCAAATATGCATTATCCAAGTTAGCATGGGAGTTCCTACCATACTGGGGTTCCTACCATTGAATCCCCTGATTTTCCTTTGGATCTTGGCTCCCCATGCTAATCTTTCTTACTCATGTCTCCAATGATTTTAACAGATGTGGAGAATATACAGGGTTTCTGATAATTCAATAAAATTATGCCTTGAACTATAGGGGTTGTATTCTAGCTACTTTGACTAGTAATAAAATTTACTAGGGCCATTAACTAATGGAAACAGCACAGACTGAGTCAGCCCTAGGATTCATTTCAGCTCTTAGATTTATTAATCTGACCTTGAGCCAATCCGTTCATCTGTCAAACGTCACTCTTCAAACTGTCTGTAAAATAGGGATAATAGCACCTGTCTTAAACAATTCAAATGAAAATAATACCTATCTTAAACAGTAAATTAAGACACTGAATATATAGCACAGTATTTGACACATAATAGATGCTCAATAAAAATTTTGGGTTTTTTTCTCTTCCCTTCCTCACCTTTAGGAGAATTTTTTTGCAGCTCCACTGGGCCAATTCATAGACTAGTTAGAGGAATGAATAGACTGTATTATCACAGTGGTAGCAGTAGAAGATTTTTATTTACCTAGAACTGAATGTCAAATTTGTCAAAGCAAATTCAGTTTTCTGCTCATTTTCAGAAGCTCTGTCAGTCTTTAATTTACCAATTCAGACAGCTTCTGTTATACATCACTGATTTCCTAATAGCAGAATTTGACAATTAAATGCTCTCAGAAAATTTCTTTTTTGCTTGCAGAAAAATATGCTAGTAGCCTAAGACAGTTTTTCTAATAACAGGAAGCCAGAGCTAGAGAATAAAACAATTAGCATTAGCCACAGCATTTCTTTTCTCTTTTTCTTTTTGAGACAGTCTTGCTCTGTCACCCAACCTGTAGTTCAGTCATGCAATCATGACTCATTGCAGCCTTGACCTCTTGGGCCCAAGCAGTCCTCCCACTTCAGCCTTCTGAGTAGCTGGGACCACAGGCATACACCACCACACCTGGCTAATTTTTAAATTTTTTGTAGAGAGAGTCTCACTATGTTGCTTAGTCTGATCTTGAACTCCTAGCCTTAGGCAGTTCTCCTGCCTTTACCTCTCAGAGTGGTGGGATTACAGGTATGAGCAACCATGCCCGACCACCACAGCATTTCTGAAACTATTTAAGGCAGAGCAAAATTTTAAGTGCTGTGTCATCTCAGGAAAGTGTTTAAGATTGTCAAATATTTTATATGATTCTTTTGCAGGGTTTTTTTGAGACTGTGTCTCACTTTTTCACCCAACCTAGAGTACAGTGGCACCAACATGTCTCACTGCAGGCTTGACTTCCTAGGCTTAAGTGATTCTCCCCCCCGCATCTTCCTGTGTAGCTAGGACCACAGGCATGTGCTATCATACCCAGCTAATTTTTAAAATTCACTTGTAGAGACAGGGAGTCTCATTTTATTGCTTGGGCTGGTCTTGAACTCCTCGGCTAGAGTCAGTGATTCACCCACCTTGGCTTGCCAGAGTGTTGGGATTATAGGTGTGAGCCACTGCACCCAACCCAAGTTTTTAATATAATCTATCTTACATTTGATCCTTATTTCATGCTGTTTATAAATGTAAATTAGTATTTTATTAGAAAAATGTTTAAAATACAACACTGTCATCCAGGCTAGAGTGCAGGGATGCAATCATAGCTCACTGCAGCTTCGACCTCTTGGGCTCAAGCAATCTTCCCACCTCTGTTTCCCAAGTAACCGGAACAACAGGCGTGTGCCACCAAGCTCAGCTAATTTGTAAATTTTTTTGTACAGATAGGGTCTCAAATGTACAGCTAGTCTGGAATGCCTGGGCTCAGGTGATCCTGCTGCCTTGACCTCCCAAATTGCTGGGATTACAGGCATAAGCCACTGTACCCGGCCACAACAGGTTTTAAAATTTCTTGAGGAAAACACTCATTTTTTTTAACTTGTAGCTGGCATATTATTTCAACAGGAGTGACATATCCACCAGGCACTAATAATTAAACAGTACCAGGTGCCAGCACACACATACCCCAACTCTACACATACCATTAGGTTAGTTGTCTTTTCCTATTCTGAAGTAGTTCAACTGTTATACATTTAGACTATAAACTTAATTTACATATTATAGGCCACTATGATTTTTTTTTTTTTTAATTTTCAACTGAAGTTAAATTTTACCTTGTTACCAGATTCAGAAGAAGATGTTGTTGAAACTCCTGCAGTGTCTCATGATGAACATACACACCAAGAAATAAAGGGCCGAAAAACACTGGCAACTCCTGCAGTTCGCCGTCTGGCAATGGAAAACAATGTAAGTTTTCTTAATTTTAAACCTGAGATTGCATAGAAAGTGTACATTTGTATCTGAAAAATTAGCCAACTCTCTTGTGACAAAATGGCTCAGTGATTTAAGGAAACACGAAAATATTTGCTACTGAAAAATGATAGTTGCATAAAAGTACATGGGAGAAACGAGACGTTGTAAACTTATTACTTACCATCAGTGGAGCAGTGTGGTTTTATTATTCTTTCTTGGAGCCTAATAACACTAAGAGCTACCATTTATTAAGCATTTGTAAATGCCAGGTCAGGTGTTCTAGAGGCACAGGACTAGATAGGAGTTTGAAGGAGGGAAAACCTGTCAAGGGAATGAAGGAAGCAGGATAAGAAAGGGAAGAGAAGGGAAATTGGCCAGACATGGATATGGTATCAAGCATGTGGTCTGTCCCAAAGCTTGCCGTGGTCCTAACGCAAAAAAGGACTGATTTGAGGGAGAAGGGGAGAACCACAGAATTACTGCTTTGAGGCAAGGAAGTTGGCCTTTTGTATTTCCTCTGTAAGTCATTGACTGAATGGAGGGTGGAATGCCAGGCAAGGTGGCTCCCTGGCACTGTGATAGGTATTCACATATTATCTTACTTAACCCTGTAAGATAAGGAGCTGTTTTAAGACGTGGAGGGTTTAAGTAACTAGTCTAAGGTCATACAACTAACACAGCAGCAGAGCCAGAATTCAAAAGTGAGTCTATGTCACTCCAAATCCTGTGCTCTTAGACGTTAGATATGGCATCAACAATCATTGCCTCCATTATTTGAGCACATATGTGTCAGACACTATAGACATTATCTGTAATCCTCACAAGGACCCTTCAGGAAGGTTGACTGACTTATCTAAAACCAAGTAAGCTGAACTAGGCATTTGAACACAAATCTGCCTGGTTCTGAAGCCTCGATACTTTTCACTGTGCCCCACAATGAGACTCTTCGTTTGCCTCTTTTTGAGAAAAGTAAAGTTGCTGTGGGAAAAAATAAAAGTTTATATTTTGTGAAATATGTAATAGAGTCATTAAAATGTTCAAATCCTTTCAGCCAGTTATCCTGCCACTGGGAAACTATCCCAAGAAAATAGGATACGTCCTTCCTTGTATTTTATATAACCAAAAATTAGAAGATGCATACGTGTTCAAAGTCAAATTATGTTATGTATGCTTGATGAAATTTTATGTAGCCATTAAATGTGTTTAAGTATGAAGACCATTTAGCATAACAGAAAATAGATATAGTAACATGGAACACTATGTTATTAAGGGCATCAGATGAAATAGTGATTTAACATATTGTTTTGAATTCTATAAAGCATTTAAATATTCTTTTTCTTAATAATATAGAAAGAAATATATAGAAGAAATGTGTGATTTCGCTTTCCTAAAACACTCCCTAAAGATGTGTATAGAATACTTGGGTAGAGTACTTGTATGATCGCTAAAAATTAAATATAAGATTTAGTTATCAGAAATCATCCTTTTTCTTTCATTTTGCATATTTATGAATTGAGTTTAAAATTAAGAACCAGTGGCATTTACAGTTGTTTGTAACTGCCTAAAAATTATTTAAATTTTCAGAGTCCATTTGTTGCAAACTTAGCGTTTGCCTTAGTGAAGTCCTTTATTATTTTAGATATCCTTAGAGATGCACTAATACAAATGAAGTGGGGCCGATCCCTAGGAAATTAATACATGCTATGTATGAGGAGATCATTCCAAGATTTTATGTTTATTTGTATTTAAATAGATTTAAGTGTTTTGTACTGATCTTTCCAAACCAACTACCAGAAAAATAACTAATTTGAGAGAGCTTTTGTATTATGATTATTTAAGTTGTTAACGTTTTTAACTGGTAGCCAACATCAGAAACATTGGTCTAATACTGTTACAGCATTTAATTTCTCCTTAAATTCTCAGTTCTCCCTCTTGTTATGTAGTCCCTAAGAATAGAAAGGTTTGAGTTAGAATTATGCAAGAGATTTTAAAACACTTGAGTATAAAAATGTAAGTTTTCAGCTGGGCATAGTGGCTCACGCCTGTAATCCCAACACTTTTGGGAGGCTGAGGTGGGAGAATGGCTTGAAGCTTGTTGTTCAAGAGCAGCCAGGGCAACAGAGTGAGACTCTGTCTCTGCAAAAAAAAATTTTTTTAAGTACATTTTCATAAATAGCTCTAGATTATATATAATATAGATACCTGATGGTTACCACATGCACATATGAACAGTGTATACAAAAGTAATAAATGATTACTTAGGTAGAAAATGAAAAGGTTATTTCCTTTTACTAATTTGTTAGACATATATATATGCATATTATTTTCAATTGATCAACATCCATTTTGAAACTTTAATAATGTTTTTAAGTAGTTTTATTTTTGGCATTAAAATATATCATTTTTTAGATTAAGCTGAGCGAAGTTGTTGGCTCAGGAAAAGATGGCAGAATACTTAAAGAAGATATCCTCAACTATTTGGAAAAGCAGACAGGAGCTATATTACCTCCTTCACCCAAAGCTGAAATTATGCCACCTCCACCAAAGCCAAAAGACATGACTATTCCCATACCCGTATCAAAACCTCCGGTATTCACAGGCAAAGACAAAACAGAACCCATAAAAGGTAATGATAATAATAATATAAGGCAATAGTTATTTTATTTTGGGGGAAGCTATCTCAGTAGGTAAATGTATGTAATATGGTGTTTTGAAGTCTTACTTAAGAGAAAGTTCAACTTCAGTCAGTATATAATTGTTTAATGGTAAAATAACATAGTTTTTCCAGAAAACACTCCCCATTTATATGTACTGTTTTTCTGAAGGTAATACATTAGCAGGTTTCTTCGTATACTGACGGTTGCTGTTTGAAGACACATGCAGGATATTTTAAACATTCACTATTTGTAGTTCTTAATTTGTTATTTATAAACTCTTGGAATGATTAACTTCCAAAAGAGTGGCTTTGCAGGAAAGCTGTTAGGGAAATACATGGCTTGCATTCTTTTGAATCGTTTATATAACACAGCGTTTAAAGCAGTTACCTGCTACGTTATTGCATTTGCGACTGTCATGATGCAGTCAATGTTCCAGCTTTGAAATTAGTGACTTCCGGTGTGACGTAATGTAAGGAAGAGAGTAGTGTGAGGAAAGGTTTAACTGAGAAAGAAAAGCACATTAGAGAACCTTCCATTTTAGTTTTTCTTTTTCTTTTCTTTTCTTTTTTTTTTTGAGATTGAATCTCCCTTTGTCACCCAGGCTGCAGCGCAGTGGCGTGACCTCTGCTCACTGCAATCTCTGCTTCCCAGGTTCAACAACTTTAGTTTCTTAACGGGATTTAAGAATTTAAATAAATGAATAACAATTGGATGCTTTCAGGTTTTCAGAAAGCAATGGTCAAGACTATGTCTGCAGCCCTGAAGATACCTCATTTTGGTTATTGTGATGAAGTTGACCTTACTGAACTGGTTAAGCTCCGAGAAGAATTAAAACCCATTGCTTTTGCTCGTGGAATTAAACTCACCTTTATGCCTTTCTTCTTAAAGGTGAGATTTCACTCATTGCAAGCAAGGCTTGAGTAGAACATTTATTTGTTTGTTTGTTTTTTGAGATGGAATTTTGCTCTTTTCACCCAGGCTGGAGTGCAATGGTGTAATCTCAGCTCACCGCAACCTCTGCCTCTTGGGTTCAAACAATTCTGTTGCCTCCCCAGTAGCTGGGATTACGGGCACCTGCCACCACAGCCAGCTAATTTTGTGTTTTTAGTATAGACAGGGTTTCGCCATGTTGGCCATACTGGTCTCAAACTGCTGACCTCAGGCGATCCATCTCCCTCAGCTTACCAAAGTGCTGGGATTACAGGCATGAGCCACCGCACCTGGCCCCAAGTTGGACATTTAAATTTGGCTTTGCCAACATGAAATGTGTTGACTATAGGCTTGAATAAAAATATTACTTCTCACATCATATAGTTAGAAAATGTGCCATTTCTTTGTTTTGTAGGAAATCATGAAATTGAAATTTCTCTATTGTATTTTTAGTCACTTAGCTAGAGACAATTCTGCCAGTGAAGTAAAGGCTTTAATCTTAAAAGGATCACTCCAGCCAAGTTCTGGTTTGAACTAAAATGAGACTTGATATTGATTTTGCAATATCACTGACATATTAATATTTATTTTTGTTTACTCAACAAACTTATATTGAGGCTCCTGGGAATCATTTCTGGTGCTAAGCCTTGGGACCTTTATAAAATGGAGTAAGATCATCAGCTGACCTTGAGCAGCTTACAGTCTAGCTCACATTAGTGACTGTGCAGCAGCTACCATGTGCCAGGCTCCATACTAAGCATGCTGTATACATTATCTCTTAATTATCAGAGTAACTCTGACATGTAGATATTACTGTCCTCACTTTCCATTTAAGGAAATTGGAACTCAGAGAGGTTAAGAAACTCATCAAGGACTTAACAGCTAACAAGTGGAGAAGCTCTTTCAGGTTCTGGTCTGTTTTACTTGGAGGGACATACTGATGTCTCTAATGCCAGCATGTTCAGCCCTTTCTCTACATTACACCAAGACTGGTCTTCCATAAATCAAATTATTGTAATATTCTCTGATTCTTTTCAGTGGTTCCCCTTTCATTGCCTTTAGGATAATTTCCATACTCAGTGTGGCATACAAATGCATTATAAGTCTCTGCTGCCTGCCTCTCTGTTCTTATCTCACTCCTTATATTAAGCTACCCATAATTGCTGGAATACACAATTCCACCTGACGTGTTCCTTCTTGATCAAACACGTGTAAATCCCAAATTGTGGTCAGGTACAGACTCCTTCTGTGGCTGTCACTATTTGAATTAAATACTCTTGTTTCCCACTGTTACTTACCTCAGTGCCTTGTGAGTGCTTACTCAGTTTTCTCTTTACCTACTGAACGCTGAGCCTCATGAGGCAGAAACTGTTCTCCTTTATCTCCTCCCCTAGTCTTTTTTTTTTTGAGGAGTTTTGTTCATGTTGCCCAGGCTGGAGTGCAATGGCATGATCTTGGCTCACGGAAACCACTGCCTCCCGGGTGCAAGCGATTCTCCTGCCTCAGCCTCCCGAGTAGCTGGGATTACAGGCACGTGCAACCAGGCCAAAGTAATTTTTATAATTTTTAGTAAAGACAGATTTTCTCCATGTTGGTCAGGCTGGTCTTCAACTCCCAACCTTAGGTAATCCGCCCGCCTCTTTTTTTTTTTTTTTTTTTTTTTTAAGAAAGAGTCCGCTCTGTTGCCCAGGCTAGAGTGCAGTGGCTCAATCATAGCTCACTGCAGCCTTGAACTCCTGGGCTCAAGTGATCTTCTACCTCAGCCTCCCAAAAAGCTGGGACCACAGGTGTGCACTACCACACCTGGCTAATTTTTTTATTTTTAGTAGAGATGTGTCTCGCAATGTTACCCAGGCTGGTCTTACAGGGATGAGCCGCCAGTCCTGGCTATTTTGTTTTAAAATAAAACGTAAGTTTCAGAACATTAAAAAAAAAAAAATACTACACAGTATTATAGAGGGGGAAAAAATGACCCGATCCATTGACACATATCTTGTATTTTTCTAGGACAAAATTTGGATTATATTCAAAACACTATTTTTATGTGTAACAGTTTAGACTAATTTTAGTTAGGGGTTTTTAGATAAAGACTACTAAAATTACAGTTATTGAATCAGATGCATACTAAAACTTTCAAGTTGGCTGGGCAAAGTGGCTCACGACTGTAATCCCAACACTTTAGGAGGCCAAGGCAGGCAGATTGTTTGAGTTCAGGAGTTCAAGACCAGCCTAGGTAACGTAGTGAAACCCCATCTCTACAAAAAATGCACAAATAACCTGGGCATGGTGGCATGCACCTAAAATTCCAGCTACTCAGGAGACTGAGGTGGGAGGATCACTTGAGGCAAGGAGGTTGAGGCTACAGTGAGCTGAGATCATGCCACTGTACTCCAGCCTGGGTGACAAAGCAAGACTCTGTCTCAAAAACAAACAAGAAAAAACTTCCAAGTCATAAAAATTAAGGAATTTGTAGCAGTTCTTTTCATTATATTTTTCTTCAGTTGATCTACTCTCTTAATCTGTCCTAATGACTACAAAATGTCTCTATATATTTAAATTCTTTTATTAACGCTCTAGTTCAATAATTTGATTTTTTTTCCATCAAGACCTCCGATGAACAGAGAAAAATAACACAATGCATGTAAAGAACTTTAACAGGGACCAGCCAAGGGCAGTGAGGGAGGGAATTCTGTTTAAGAATGATCTTAAGCATTTTTTCTTTGCTATCTTTTAAATTTAATACAATGCGTGACCACCACATGTAAGGTGTGAACCTTGATTATTAGATCCCGAATTGGCAGGGAAACAGATATCGAGAACATTTTAGATACACTTAGGGATATCTGAATATGGACAGATATTGATGTTAAGAGACTAAGGGAAGAAAAGAAAGGGGAAGGCAGCAGAGAGGGAAAATATAAATGCTATTCAGTGAGACTTGGGCTCTAAAGTAAATGTTCAAGCCATCGCTGCCCTTCACTTGGCCAAGGACACCGGGTAGCAAACTGGCATTTAATAGTCAGTGCACTTTGAAATCCTCGTTACATGTTATTTCTGCACAGGGAAATAGCTTACCTGCTTTTCTGTGTTTTGATTCCTAGTGTATATTTGAACTACAGGCTTACTTCTCATGGAAATCTTAAGATTCTACATGTCAGTGAGAAAATGACCTAGAAATTAGACATTTTCTTTGGAACTTTGGCTGGTCTGTATCATTATTTTTAAAATCTCCTTGATGTTTACAAGCTACCTGACTACTTTATCTTTTATTCTTTAATGATTAGGGTGACCTAGTTCTGCATTGCTTGAAGGTAACATTGGCAGTAATGTGACTAGGTACATGTAGACTTGAAATTAAACTTAGCGTAAATAAGAGCTCTCTCTCTCCCTCCTTTTATACCGCTTATTGTTTCAAATTCCCTATCCCTTCTGAGTTAAAAGTGCTATAATTGCATTCTTTTTCTTTTAAATAGGCTGCTTCCTTGGGATTACAACAGTTTCCTATCCTTAATGCTTCTGTGGATGAAAACTGCCAGAATATAACATATAAGGTTGGCTATACAGAGTGAAAATTTTCTTATTATTAATAGAAGATAGGGCAAATGTGCTTGTAGGTTAGAGAGACTTCCATTGTACCTCAAATAGTGATCTTTTTTAGGCTAGAATTAAAGGTGTGGCATAAAACATTAAACTTACTTATAATTTATTGTTACTGTTGTTTTTGTGGTTAATGATACTGTTTAGATAAGATTCTTAAAACCATTTTTAAGCTTTTTGTTTTGTTTTCTGCTTAAAATAATAGAAATATATAGCTGTATGGCAGTAGATTATGTTACCTACTCTACTTGCCAAAAAGCAGCAGCTCTTTCACAATTGAATTCCTGGAATATTATTATTATTATTATTGGCAGAGTCTTACTCTGTCACCAGTTTGGAGTCCAGGGTTGTGATCGTGGCTCACTGCAGCTTTGACCTCCCAGGCTCAAGCAATCCTCTTGCCTCAGCCTCCTGTGTATCTGGGACTACAGGCATGCACCACTATATCCAACTAATTTTTAAATTTTTTGTAGAGACAGGTCTCATTATGTTGCCCAGGCTGGTCTTTAACTTCTGGGCTCAAGCAATCCTCCTACCTTAGCCTCCAAAGTGCTGGGATGACAGGTATAATCCGACTGTGCCTGGCAAAGTCCTGAAATTTTAAGATTAAGAATAATTTCAGTAAGAAAAGTAATAAAAGTTTGAATTCAATATATATGTATTTTATCACATATCTTCTGTGTGGAGAGAAAGTTTCTTAAGTTTGAGAACTCTTTTTGAGATGCCATTCCTTATATTTACTTTTCATTAGAAATGTACAACCAGAGGCTAGGCACAGTGACTTAAGTTTATAATCCCAGCAAGCTGAGGAGGGTCGATCACCTGAGGTCAGGAGTTGGAGACCAGCCTGGCCAACATGGTGAAACCCTGTCTCTACTAAAAATACAAAAATTAGCCAGGCATGGTGGCCAGCGCCTATAGTCCCAACTACTCAGGAGGCTGAGGCAGGAGAATCGCTTGAACCCAGGAGACTGAGGTTGCATTGAGCCGAGATTGCGTTACCACACTCCAGCGTGGACGACGAGAGCAAAACTCCATCTCAAAAAGAGAATTAAAAGAAAAGAAATGTACAACCAGAAAGTGAGCTTAGATATTCTGGGAGGTCAGATCCTATATGGTTAATAGAATCAGCTGTATTAATTTTTATTTTTATTTTAATATCTCCTGATTAAGTATATACTTGCCACAAAAATTTCGGGCAAGAAAATAATGATGTTGGCCGGTGTGGTGGCTCCTGCGTGTAATCCCAGCACTGTGGGGGACAGAGGTGGGAGGATGGCTTGAGCCCAGGAATTCAAGACCATCATGTGCAACAAAGTGAGGACACCCCCATCTCCACAGAAAAAAAATTATTAGCGGGGCATGGTGGTGCGTGCCTGTAGTTTTAGCTACTTGGGAGGGAGGTAGGAGAATCATATGACACCTGCACTCCAGCCTAGGCTACAGAGTGAAACTGTGTCTCAAAAATAAAAAGAAAAAAAAAGATGTTTACCCTCAATTCCATGACCCTAAGAGACCTCACTATTTATGTTGAGATATACATCTTTCCAGGATTTCATTTTTATATGCTTTTTAAAAGATATAGAATTATTCATATTTTTCTTTTTTTTTTCTTTGAGATGGAGTCTCTCTCTGTCACACAGGCTGGAGTGCAGTGGCACAATCTCAGCTCACTGCAACCTCCACCTCCTGGGTTCAAGCAATTCTCTGCCTCAGCCTCCTGAGTAGCTGGGATAACAGGTGCCCACCACCACGCCCAGCTAATTTTTGTATTTTTAGTAGAGACAGTGTTTCACCACTTGGCCAGGCTGGTCTTGAACTCCTGACCTCATGATCCACCCACCTTGGCCTCCCAAAGTGCTGGGATTACAGGTGTGAACCCCCACACCAGGCCTTGTATTTTTCTTTAACTTTCTTTTTTCTTTTTTGAGACAGGGTCTCACTCTGTTGCCTATCTAAAGTATTCCCATAGAGATTATCTATGCTGTAGTGTAATCATAGCCTCACTGCAGCCTCAGCCTCCCACCTCAGCCTTCCGAGTAGCTGGGACTACAGGTATGTCCCACCGTGTCCAGCTAATTTTTGTAATTTTTTTTTTTTTTTTTTTTTTTTTTTTTGTAGAAATGGGGTCTTGCCATGTTGCCCAAGCTGGTCTCTTAACTCCTAGGCTCAAGCGATCCACCCACCTCAGCCTCCCAAAGTGCTGGGATTACAGGCATGAGGCACCATGCCCAGCCTTTTCTTTCTCATTTACTATATTGTAGACATCACTGTGTGACAACAAATATAGCTTTGTTATCATTTATCTAGCTAGTGACCTATTTATAAACATTGTGATTATTTGCAGTTTCTGAAACTTATAAACAGTGTGTACTCAACATCCTTGTATATCCCTACATACTTCTGCATTTAGTTCCTTAACACAAATTTTTATAAATGTTGGTACCTATTGTCATATGTTCTCCAGAAAGTCTTTACAGGTTGAATATCCCTTATCCAAAATGCTTGGGACCAGAAGTGTTTTGGATTTCAGTTTTGTTTTTTTTTTATTTTGGGATATTTGCACATACAGAGGAGACTTTTTAGGGATAGGATCCAAATCTAAACATGAAATTCACTTATGTTTCATATACCCTCATACATATAGCCCAAAGGAACTTTATGCAATATTTTTAACATTTTTGTGTATGAAACAAAGTTGGGTTTTTTTCTTTTTTTGACACAAGGTTTTGCTCTGTTACCATGCGTAATCATAGCTTATTGTAACCTAAAACTCTTGGACTCAAATGATCTCCCCACCTCAGCCTCCCAAGTGGCTGAGGCTACAGGTGTGTGCTATAATACTCAGCTAATTAAAAAAAAATTTTTTGTAGAGATGGGTCTTGCTATGTTGCCCAGGCTGTTCTCAAACTCCTGGCCTCAAGCAATCCTACTGTGTCAGTCTCCCAAAATGTTGGGATTGCAGGCATGAGCCACTATGTCCTGCTAGAATCAGTTTTGGCTGCATTTTTTTGTTTGCTTGTTTGTTTGTTTTTACTGATGGGCTCTGATATGGTTAAATATTTAAAAATGAGAACTATTTCAACAACTATGCAGCATAATGTTTAAGGACAAAATACTGAATATACTTTTTATTATATATGTATTTTATTACATAATGAGGAATGCTGAGGTGCTTAATCCATCCCATAAATTGAAAATAAAAACTTTACATTTCTATATTTTTGTCAGTATACAGGATTCTGAAGATGGATCTCGACTCTGGGTGATAAATCGGTTTTCAAGGGAATTGGCTATGTTTTGACTGTGACTCATCACATGACATCATTTCGGCCCTCAAAAGTTTCAGATGTTGGAGCATTTCAGATTTCAGATATTTGGACTAGGGATGCTCAACCTGTACCAGTTACATTCCCACTAACAATATTAGGAAACAGCCTATTGCTCTATATTCTTATCAACAAAAAATTATCATCTTCAAAATATATATATACATATATAAATATAGATATACATATATATTTTTAGACAGAGTCTCATTCTGTCACCTAGGCTGGAGTGCAGTGACACCTTCTTAGCTCAATGCAACCTCCACCTCCTGGGTTCAAGCGATTCTTATGCCTCAGCCTCGTGAGTAGCTGGGATCACAGACCTGTGCCACCATTCCCAGCTAATTTTTGTATTTTTAGTAGAGACAGCTTTCAGCATATTGGCCAGGCTGGTCTTGAACTCATGACCTCAGGTAATCCACCTGCCTTGGCGTCCCAGAGTGCTGGGATTACAGGCTGAGCCACTGCACTTGGCCCAAAAAATCTTTCAAAAAATATTTTTAAATTATTTATTTTTAATCACTGCCAATCTGGTAAAAATGAGTTTTGGTAGTGGTTTCTAGATGACAGTGAAAGTTGATCCTTTCTTTGCTGTTAGCTTATTCATTAAAAGCCCTACTGTATAATTTTTTATTTTTTAGGCTTCTCATAACATTGGAATAGCAATGGATACTGAGCAGGGTTTGATTGTCCCTAATGTGAAAAATGTTCAGATCTGCTCTATATTTGAGATTGCCACTGAACTGAACCGCCTCCAGAAATTAGGCTCTTTGGGTCAACTCAGCACCACTGATCTTACAGGAGGAACATTTACTCTTTCCAACATTGGATCAGTGAGTAATCATGTTGAAATACATAAACCATAACTTAAGGTTTCTGATCATATGCTTAATTAAAAATAGAAAATGTTACTTGCCATTTGTTCCCTAAAAACCATACTATCCTTTTTTTTTTTTTTTTTTTTTTTTTTTTAAACAGATTGGTGGTACCTATGCCAAACCAGTAATACTGCCACCTGAAGTAGCCATTGGGGCCATTGGATCAATTAAGGTACATGTCTTAAATAACGGAAATATGGAGTTTAAACAAATTCAGGGAGTAAACACAATGAAGAGTAAACATTTCTGAGGTTTCCCCTCATTTTGTAGGTTTGAGTTTGTGAGTTTATCTTAGAAAGTATATATATAGTTTAAGTTCTGGGACACATGTGCAGAACATGCAGGTTTGTTACATAGGTATATATGTGCCATTGTGGTTTGCTGAACCCATGGGTTCATCATCTACATTAGGTATTTCTCCTAATGGTATCCCCCCTCTTGCCCCCTACTATCTGACAGGCCCTGGTGTGTGATATTCCCCTCCCTGTGCCCATATGTTCTCATTGTTCAACTCCCACTTATGAGTGAGAACATGCGGTGTTTGGTTTTCTGTTCCTGTGTTAGTTTGCTGGGAATAGTGGTATCCAGCTTTATCCGTGTCCCTGCAAAGGATATGAACTCATTCTTTTTTATGGCTGCATAGTATTCCATGGTGTATATGTGCTATGTTTTCTTTATCTAGTCCAGCATTGATGGGCATTTGGGTTGATTCCAAGTCTTTGCATTGTGAACAGTGCTGCAATAAACATGCATGTACATGTGTTTTATAGTAGAATGATTTATAATCCTTTGGGTATATACCCAGTAATGGGATTGCTGGGTCAAATGGTATTTCTAGTTTTAGATCCTTGAGGAATTGCCACATGGTCTTCCACAATGGTTGAACTAATTTACACTCCCACCAACAATGTGAAGGAGTTCCCATTTCTCCACATCCTCTCCAGCATCTGTTGTCTCCTGATTTTTTAATGATCGCCATTCTCATTGGTGTGAGATGGTATCTCAATGTGGTTTTGATTTGCATTTCTCTAATGACCGGTGATTATGAGCTTTTCCTCATATGTGCATAAATGTCTTCTTTTGAAAAGTGTTCATATTGTTTGCCCACTTTTTGACAGGGTTTGCTTTTTTTTGTAAATTTGTTTAAGTTCTTTGTAGATTCTGGATATTAGCCCTTTGTCAGATGGGTAGATTGCAAAACTTTTTTCCCATTCTGTTGGTTGCGGGTTCACTCTGATGATATTTTCTTTTGCTATGCAGAAGCTCTTAAGTTTAATTAGATCCCATTTGTCTATTTTGGCTTTTGTTGCCATTGCTTTTGGTGTTTTAGTCATGATGTTCTTGCCCATGCCTATGTCCTGAATGGTATTGCCTATGTTTTCTTCTATGGTTTTTATGGTTTTAGGTCTTATCTTACATTTAAGTCTTTAATCTATCTTGAGTTATTTTTATATAAGGTGTAAGGAAGGGATCCAGATGCAGCTTTCTGCACATGGCTAGCCATTTTTCCCAACACCATTTATTAAATAGGGAATCCTTTCCCCATTGCTTGTTTTTGTCAGGTTTGTCAAAGATCAGATGGTTGTAGATGTGTGGCATTATTTCTGAGGCCTCTGTTCTGTTCTGTTGGTTTATATCTCTGTTTTGGTACTAGTACCGTGCTGTTTTGATTACTGTAGCCTTGTGGTATAGTTTGAAGTCAGGTAGTGTGATGCCTCCAGCTTTGTTTTGTTGTTGTTGTTGTTGTTGTTGTTTTTGTTTTGCTTAGGATTGTCTTGGCTATGTGGGCTCTTTTTTGGTTCCATATGAAATTTAAGGGTTTTTTTCCAATTCTGTGAAGAAAGTCAATGGTAGTTTGATGGGGATAGCATTGATTCTTTAAATTACTTTGGACAGTATGGCCATTTTTATGATACTGATTCTTCTTAACCATGAGCATGTGGACACAGAGAGGGGAACATTACACACTGGGGCCTGTCAGAGGTAGGGGGCTAGGGGAGGGTTAGCAGAGGGTGAAGGGGTAGGGGAGGGATAGCATTAGGAGAAATACCTAATGTAGATGACGGGTGATGGATGCAGCAAACCACTGTGGCACCTGTATACGTATGTAACAAACCTGCATGCTCTGCACATGTACCCCAGAACTTAAAGTGTAATAATAATAATAATAATAATAATAAATTTTAAAAAAATTAAACTACAAAGAAATTCAAAATATGAAAGAAAAAAAAAGTGATTGGTGGCCATGATTTCGAAGACACTGACTTAGAATAAGGATTGCAATGATTCTTAACCCTGGCTGCATGTTAGAATCAGCTGAGAGCTTGAAAAGAAATTATGGCCAAGCTCCCCCTCTACCAACTGAATCAGAATTTTGAAGGATGGGACTTAGGTACCGCTATTAATTCAGTATTGAGGACCACTGAGGCACATAAGCTCCTAGATACCACTTCAATACTATGTTTATTAAATGTCATTGTCACTATATTAAGAAGAACGTGTTTTAAGAAGAGCTTTTCTTCTTTTCTACACTTACAGTGCTTCCATGTTGAACATCTCTGGGACTTGTCCTCATGAGTTTATTCCTTGCATGTTGGAACCCTCACAAATGCTTTCCTTCAGCCTTTGATTTGATTTCTAGCAGAGAGTAAATTAGCATCTAAGTTATTCCCCCTTCCTAGCATCCACTTTCCCTTCTGGCAAGCAGAGGAGATAGGGAGAAAAAACAAAAACACATAATATGACACTATTCTTTTCAAATCAAGAGTTCTCTGAGTGATAACTTCTATCACTCATTCTCTTTTCCAATAAGAATTCAATATTTGATTCTTTAAAAATTTGGCTTCCCACAATTCCCAAACCATTATACCTGTTTAACAAACTTTTGTGTTCTCTTTCCTTAAAGAGATTTATCTTCTTCTGAATTATGTGTGTGTATATATATATATATAATTGTGGCAAAATGTATAAACATAAATTGACCATTGAAACAATATTTGAGTATATTTTTCAGTGGCATTAAGTGCATTTACATTGTTTGCCACCATCACCATCATCTGTCTCCAGAACTTTTTCATTATCCCAAACTGAAACTCTGTGCCTATTGAATAATCTATTTCCCCAGCCTTTGGTAACTACCATTTACTTTCTGTCTCTCTGAATTAATTTGACAATTCTAGGTACCTCATGTAAGTGGAATCATATAACATTTATCTTTTTGTATCTGGCTCAAAGCTCATTAATGTTTTAGCATGTGTCAGAATTTCATTAGTTTTTAGGAGTAAATAATATTCTCTTGTACATAGATATATGCCATGTTTTGTTTATCCATTCATCTGTCAATGAATATTTGGATTATTTCCATTTTTTCGGCTCTCGTGAATAATGCTGTTATGAACAGATGAATATTTGATTTACAAATGTCTGTTCAGTAGATACATTTTTACAGAATCATTTTATCCGTGGTTTCTTCAAGCCATGAAACATAGTTCTTAGAGCAGCAATCTTTTTTTTTTTTTTTTTTTTTGAAACAGAGTTTCGCTCTTGTTACCCAGGCTGGAGTGCAATGGCACCATCTGGCTCACCGCAACCTCCGCCTCCTGGGTTCAGGCAATTCTCCTGCCTCAACCTCCTGAGTAGCTGGGATTACAGGCACGCGCCACCATGCCCAGCTAATGTTTTGTATTTTTAGTAGAGACGGGGTTTCACCATGTTGACCAGGATGGTCTCGATCTCTTGACCTCATGATCCACCCGCCTCGGCCTCCCAAAGTGCTGGGATTACAGGCTTGAGCCACTGCGCCCGGCTTAGAGCAGCAATCTTATTCATCACTTAATATTTGTTGGGTAGAGACAAATAGTATTTAATTTATTTCTCCCTTGTGTCATCTTTCCTTTGCTATTTTGCTTTCATTATAGAATTTTAATTCCTTCTTGCTTAATTGTTTAAGTCATTCAGTCTTCCATGTTACTCAATTCTCAGTATTCATTTTCCTTGACTTACTAGTTGACCTTGAGATGACTGATCAATCCAACCTCTTTGGAAAACTTTCTTAATGTTGACTTGCAGAATACCTGGCCATTTTGGTTTTCCTCCTATGTCACTGCCTTTTCCCTCTAAGTCTCCTTTACCCCATACCTCCTCACGTTCCCAGTCTCTACACGTCGAAGCACCCCAGAATTCAGTTCTTACCCCTTTTTCTTTATCTGATCTTTCAATACCATTTATACACTGAAGACTCCCTAGATTTATATCTTTAGATTGGACCTCACTTTTGAACTTTAAACTCTTGTATCTTGCTTGGATATGTAAAGGCATCTTGAATTTTAACATGTCTAAAACTGAGTTCCTGCATCTTCCTCACTGACCCCCACCATCAGACTTGCTCCTCCTAAAGTCTTCCCCTTTCAGTGAATGGCCATTCTGCTCAGACACTTACAGGGCTTCTCATCTCACTCGGAATCAAAGACAAATAGTTGAAGTGGCCTATATGGCTTTACACAGATGTTACTCAGTGTCATCAGGGATCCACATTTGGCTGCAACTGTTGTATCCCAACCATGAGGAGATCAGTACAGAAAAACAGAGTAGGGCTTAGAAACTTTTATAGCAGTTTGACAGGATGCTAGTATGTCTATTGAATCTAACAAGAAGTTGATGCTTATATCTTGTCTTGTCTTTTTTTTTTTAATGGAGAAAAGATATATATTTAGAATTAGCCAGCTGGGCTCATTTTAGGTGATCCCAATTTTGCTGGCAACATCCAAAGCACTGTAATCAGGAGCCAATGGAATATATGCCTTCCTTTCTCTATCAGGCCTGATCAAGGTGTTGACCTTGGCCACAAAAGTGTCATAGAGCTTCTTCACAGCCTGTTTGATCTGGTGCTTATTGGCTTTATCATCTACAAAGAACATAAGCGTGTTGTTGTCTTCTATCTTCTTCCTGGCCAACTCAGTAGTTGGATGAACTTGAGGATGGCTTGTTTCCTCACTGCCTTCAGTGAGGAAGCCTTGTTTAATTGTCTGTCTCTCCCCAGAACCCAGAAGATTACTTGGCACATAGTGGGTATACAGTAAATAATTGTTAAATATTTGAAATCTGAGATGAAAGTTAATGAATGTAGGTATGGGAATTGCCCAAGGGAAAGAAAGTACCTTGGAGAAGTTCTGAAAATTTCAGGCACATACTCAAAGGTGGGAAGAGTTTTCAAAAGTCATTAGGGATGCCCATTTTTTTCTCTATTGTAGGGAGAAGGGTTTGCCTGATCTTATGCCATTGTTAGAGCTTGAGCTTTGAGCAAGTGAAGGTTTACTCTTTCTTCTTTTTTTTTCTTTCCATTTCTAGGCCATTCCCCGATTTAACCAGAAAGGAGAAGTATATAAGGCACACGTACTGAATGTGAGCTGGTCAGCTGATCACAGAGTTATTGATGGTGCTACAATGTCACGCTTCTCTAATTTGTGGAAATCATACTTAGAAAATCCAGCTTTTATGCTACTAGATCTGAAATGAAGACTGATAAGACATTCTTAAACTTTTTGAGCTTCCAAAGAGTATGTAAAGCCTAGCTGTGCCAGTACATGTTCACCTTTACAATTTATATTGTAAATGATTTGTATGGTATGATTAAGGTTCTAAGGCACAATATTTGTCACTGTTCTGTTGAACTTTTTACCGAAAATGAATAATGGTATAATGGTTCTCCTGGGGCTGTCACATTTTATAGGTCAGAGTGTGACTGCTTAATATGGTGCTGACGTCTTTGTGTCAATGGCTTGAAACTGGCAAGGTTAACAAAATTAATGTTACTAAAAGACAGGTAGCCATATACAGACAGTATATGCCCTATTTTTTTTAACTGACTCTTAATGAAACTTTTTAATTATACTTAATTAGGAAAAGGAATTTATATACAAAATATTTTCCATTTCCCTGTAATCATGCTAACTGTTGTATAAAATAAGTGCAATTATACTTCTCTTTTGAGATATCCAATAGTATATTCTTGCTCTGTATAGAGAATATCACCTGTAAATATCTTATTTATATCAATTAACGTATTTGAAAAGGGAAAAGTATAAACTGGCCTTAAAAATGTCCAATTATAGTTTTATAACCAGTTAGTCTATTAAAGGTGTTTGTTTAAAATGGATATACTTTTAGAGTTTTGGTAATGCTTTAGCATTTTGTTGGGAAAGACCTCCACTTTGCAAACTTCCCTTATGTAGGGAAGGTACTTTAAATGTAGCAGCCACTGACATTTCTTTTTTTTTTTTTTTTTTTTTTTTTAAATTTGCAGAAGTCTACATTCTTTTAACTTTTTTGGTCTTCAGTTAAAAAATAGAATAAGAAATTAAGGTCTATTCCATTCTCCATATCCTGGGTAGGAATGTAAATAACAGGAGAAGGAAGAGTCTAATAATAATTATGGATATAAAAAATAATAAATTTTGTATAGAAATGAAGGTTTCATAATGATAATTTTGTTAAAGTTCTACTTTAATCAGAAATAGTATCGAGATGAATGCATCCAACATTTCAATTTGCATTCAGAAATCTATGTTGTTTCTAATATTGTCCAGTTGAATACTGTATGCCAAAATTAGTTGTTTTAGTGAAGCTTTGTGATAGAAAAAAGCTTGTTTTATGTCTATTTGGTTTTTCTTGAAATGGAAATAATTTTAAAATCAGGAAAGAATAAGCCAGATGTGGTATGACTTGAAACTGTAATCCCACTTATAGGGGAGGCTGAAGCAGGAGGATTGCTTGAGGCCAGGAGGTTGAAACCAGCCTGGGCAACATACTGAGATTCCATCTCAAAAAAAAATTTTTTTAAGTTAGCCCAGTGGCTCATGCCTGTAATTCCAGAACTTTGGGAGGCTGAGGTGGGCAGATCACCTGAGGTCAGGAGTTCGAGACCAGCCTGGCCAACATGGTGAAACCCCATCTCTACTAAAAATATAAAAAATTAGCCAGGCGTGGTGGTGCATGCCTGTAGTCCCAGCAATTTGGGAGACTGAGGCAGGAGAATTGCTTGAGCCCAAGATGTGGAAGTGGCAGTGAGTAGAGATTGCATCAACCTAGGCGACAGAGAAACACTCCATCTCAAAAAAAAAAATTAGCCAAATGTGTTGGTGTGCACCTGTAGTCCCAGCTACTCAGGAAACTGAGACAGAAGGATCAACTGAGCCCAGGAGTTCAGAACTGCAGTGAGCTATCATAGTGCCACTATACTCCAGTATGGGTAACAGAGTGAGACCTGGTATCTAAAAAATAAAAAGAAGAAAAAAAAAGGTCAAATAAATGCTGTTATTGTAAAATTTCAGATAATACAAAGAGTTACCAATAAAATAAAAAATCATTCATAATATTACCACTATTAACATTTTGATGTATGTATCTATATATATGGCTATTCTTTTTATTAAAGCAGGATCATAGTATATCTACTATTTTATTATTTGATTTTTAAAATTTAACATTATATTATGGGCAACTTTACATATCAATAAATAATTCCACATTGTCATGCTTTCAAATAGCTGCATAGTGTTCCATTGTATGCATTTATTATACATTCAAATATTAAACATCTACTCTACCAATCATGGTTCTAAGCATACAATAGCCACCTTCATGCTCCCTTCCTTGACTGGGCTTATAGTCTAGTGGAGGAGACAGACATTAGATAACTGCAAAAAACACTATTCTTGATAGGAAATAACCCAGGTGCTAGAAGCCATCCAGTAAAGGTAACTGATCTTATCTGGAAGGATCAGAAGATGGATGATGTCCCATAATTTAACCAATTCTCTATTGATAGACATTTATTGAATTGTAAATTAAGAATGACATGATCAGTAAAAATGTCCTCTTCACTTAAAGAATAGAAGAACTGGGGGAAGGGAATTCTGAAATAAATAAGTGTAATATATTCTGCTGAAGGTCCAGCATCAGTGGCTCAAGATATGTATTCCCAAAATAACCCTTTAGCTGTCTGGTTCTATTCCAATCCCTGGGCATTACCATCTTCTCTTTGGTCTCATCCATTGAGAATTCAGCAAAGGATTTGTTCCCTACTGTGTGCATAGCCCTTAGGATAGCAGGATTCCCTGGAGGGGGCCAGATGGGCAGGAGCACAGCCTTAGCAGCAGTGCTAGTCCATGGGGCTCTACAAAGCAAGGGGTGGGTGTTTGGGAGGAGAAAAGGGCTCTTGCTGTACTCCTAGAGGTTGGAATTGAAGTGGAGAAGCTAGAAAATTCAAGTCCTTTACTAACATGACCTGATATTAGAAGGTGTATGTACATGGGGGAGAAGGCAAATTTATTGCTGTGAGTGGCCAACAAGAAAATCGAAGCTCTGTTCATTATGCACAGCATTCCTCCGATATTTGAAAAAGAAGTACAACAGGGAAGGAAGACTGAGGATGGAAGTCAAAATTGCCATGAATTTATGTTTTAGCAATCAATACCTTATGTTGAAACCTGAATAAGAGGTGATTATGTAGAAAGAGAGTGAAAGTGACAGCTGTTAGTCAGGAAAGCCCACTGGGTTGTTTGGCCATTTCTCATGGCTTCCCACTCAAAGTGGATCCCAAAAATCACCTGATGGATTTCCTTGCTGATTTCTAAGTAAACTATGGTTTAAGGAAGAAATTATGGAGGCCGGGCGTAGTGACTCACCCCTGAATCCCAACACTTTAAGAGGCTGAGGTGGGTGGATCACCTGAGGTCAGGAGTTCAAGACCAGACTGACCAACATGGAGAAACTCCATCTCTACTAAAAGTACAAAAATAGCCGGACGTGGTAACATATGCCTGTTATCCCAGCTACTTGGGTGGCTAAAGCAGGAGAATCGCTTGAACCCAGGAGGCAGAGGTTGTGGTGAGCTGAGATGGCACCATTGCACTCCAGCCTGGGCAACAAGAGTGAAACTCTGTCTCAAAAGAGAAAAAGAAAGAAAGAAATGATGGCACTCTGCACTGCCCTACAATATCAAGAGTATAAATGTTTCTGTGAAGTCTTCAAAGACCTTTGTAACATTCAGGCTGTAATTGATTAATGAGTTTATTCTGCACATATTTATTAATTGTATATTCAGTTCCAGGCTCTAGGGTAGAGATTATGGATAAAGGTGAATTAGATAAATGCAGTTTTTGCCCTCACAACAAGAGCTTTAGCCAGCAATTAATGCTATCACTTGAAGTGGGTTTGTGCCAATAACCTGGAGCAGAGCAATGCTTTTAGAGTTGAGCTATATTCCCAATCAGTTCTTTTTTTTTTTTTTTTTTTTTTTTGAGACGGAGTTTCGCTCTTGTTACCCAGGCTAGAGTGCAATGGCGCGATCTCGGCTCACCGCAACCTCCGCCTCCTGGGTTCAGGCAATTCTCCTGCCTCAGCCTCCTGAGTAGCTGGGATTACAGGCACGCGCCACCATGCCCAGCTAATTTTTGTATTTTTAGTAGAGACGGGGTTTCACCATGTTGACCAGGATGGTCTCGATCTCTTGACCTTGTGATCCACCCGCCTCGGCCTCCCAAAGTGCTGGGATTACAGGCTTGAGCCACCGCGCCCGGCCCCAATCAGTTCTTAATGTTTATTTGGCTCTTTCCCTCTACACTGTCTTTTCTTATTGAGATCGGATCATGTCTGTGAACCCACATTGTTTCTAGTCAAAATTGCCAGGAGAGGCCAGACACCATGGCTCATGCCTATAATCCCAGCACTTTGGGAGGCCAAAGTGGGTAGTCGCTTGAGTCCAGAGTTTGAGACCAGCCTCGGCAACCCCATCTCTACAAAAAAAAAAAAAAAGAAAGAAAACACCAAAAAACAAAAAATTAGGCCAACGTAATGACATGCATCTGTGGTTCCACCTACTCAGGAGGCTGAGGTGGCAGGATTACTTGTGCCTGGGGGGCAAAGGCTGCCATGAACTGAGATTGTGCCATTGCACGCCAGCCTGGATGACAGAGCAAGACCCTCTCAAAGTATATATGTGAGTATGTATATACACACACACGAGAGCTTTTGATTTGTCTTTCTTGGTTCACGTGCCCATCAGTGTGGGCAGGAGAATACAATACTCTGTCCATGCTTGAGTCTTATGGTCACCTTTGGAGCCTAGGAGTCAGCCATCCTCATTCAACTAACTAGATCAAGAATGGGGATCTGGAAGAATTTATGGGCAGATTAAAAAGGAAGTCAACTACATAAAGTAAGGTGTTGCCTTCCCACCCCATCACACCTCAATTCATGTTAAATTATGAATTTTTCTGAGAGAGTTCTTTAATGACATGGGTAGGGAGGAAGCTGAGGTAGCAGTAGAGTAGGGAGTAGAAGGCAAATACATAAGATACTGTTAAACTGTGAGACTGTTCGTTGCAATTCCAAGATTTTATAATTTCTCCAACAAAGAACATTTGTATTTTCTTCCCAGTTTAAGTTAAATGTTAGTTTGAGAAATAATTTTTACTCTCAAACTTCATGTTGTGCTGACAGTTCAACTGATGCTGTCAAAATATGAATTACTAGCTTCAATATTCTCTGTTCATCTGATTTTTCTTAAAATGCGTGTTAATCTACTCACTAGCTTTAATGCGCTACTCTTATACCAGCACCTTAATTATGGTAAAAGGAAAAAGTTTAAGTTAAAATTTCAAAGCGTAGTTATGTGGTCAAACAGAAGATTAACAGAACTCCGTGGCTTACCATAGGGATATTTATCAAGAGAAAAAGAAAATACATATTTGAATTTATGTGACACTTTCTGTGAAGTATCTGGATTACCAGATCAGTCTGAAACAAATGCCTTCCAATTTCTACAGCACATGCCCAAGGCACTCTTCATAGTACCTGTTGAGGTCTTTTCTGCTAATTTTAAGCGCCTACCCAAACATCTTCCCAGGCTTGTCATAATAAGCAAATAACCTCAGAGTAGACAAAGCGATTCAATCTAAGAACCTTTAATTTCTCTCCTTTTCACCTCAAAATTGTTATTGCCACACTTTCTCTTTCCTTTTGTTTCTCTTTCCGGGAAGTGGTTCTCCATCAACAAATACCAAACTTTCTGCCCTCTATTATTTATTCCATCTCTTCCCCCTGGTCCCTACCCTATGTAGAACCCCCACTGCCCCATTTTGATCCTTCAGTGTCTTCCTCACATCCAGAACTGTACCAGATTTACTCCTTTGGCACACTGATTAAAATTTATTTCCAGTTCCTTATGGAGGAGGTATTAGAGACCGATGCCAGAACTCTGAAAATTTCAGTGTGGCAGAATAATGTTATGTGTCCATAAACCTGGTTTCTTTTCCTTTAGCCTGCAGTTAGGTAGGGCCATGTCATTTATCTGTAACTATTAGAATACGGATATACGGGTTGAAGTAATGTAGGCCATTTCCAGTCATGGCCCATAACACTTCTCAAGAGATTCTTCACATTCAGTCTTTTCCCCTCC